TTTTTAGAATTATACCCAGCATAAATTCTGTATCCAGAGCCTTGTTCTTAGTAAAAACAACTATATAGCTGCCTGATAGTGCAATATTAGCATGTCTACTGCTAAGGGCCGTGCTAAAACTAAGGTGGCATCTCTGTTCTTTGTAGGTTTTCACAGTTCCAGAAGACGTACACGTTAGATGAAATTCTGCATTCTCGCAAGATCTTTGATTACTTGACTGTCTTGCAGTGTTGGTAAGAAGAGGATTTAGCATTGTGAAATAAATCGTGATGTTAAGACAACTGTGGTAGGACATTTATTTAAATAAAAGTCTGCTTGCTCGTAAATTAGAAGTTACAGATTATTTTAAGTTAGATATTCCACATTTGTTTTATTTATGTCTTGACCAAACACTGTCTAGATGCTTGTTAACAGTATAATATAGTAAGCTGAAATACTTTTTGTGTTTTGGAGCTCTCGCGTCTTTCTATATCTTTTACCAATTCGCATCTGTTGCCGCTAAGTGTTAACTCTTCTCTTCAGCCTTTCCTGTACACTAAAAGGCTGCTTGTTAACAATGTTTATAGCCAAGGAAAAGTTTTGATTTTTCTACATTGAAAAACCTTAATCATACCTTCCTATTTTGATGTCATGCTGTTCAAATGCCTGCTATAAATCTTACTGAAATGGACAGCATTAAAACTGGAAGTGTCCAGCAAGCACTGATGGAATAGTTTCAGTGGCATCAGCCAAAGAAAGTGATGTTTTGGTTTTTGTTTAGTTTAAAAGGTAGTTCTGTAGGAGACTGACATTAATAACTTAGAATGATGACGTTCTTTTTCTTTCAATCAGTCCAACATCAAATGGTGCTGCAGCTGTAATTTTGGCGAGTGAGGAGTTTGTGAAAAAGCATAAGTTGGAGCCAAAAGCTGTGGAAATTCTAGCCCAGGTGATGACTACTGATTATCCAAGCACTTTTGAAGAGAACAGTTGTATAAAGTTGGTAAGTATACAGTTCTGTATTCCCAGATACTCCCCAGGGTTTGTCTGTGGCTTTTAATACCTGCACGTCCTGATGATACTGTAGACATTTAACAATTTGAACTGGAAGAAATGTAGTCTGTCTCACGTGAACCCATTTCTTTAATTTTTCTGATTATAAATAGAGTAATGAAACTGAAAGCAATGTCACTTATGGATACATAGAAGCACATTTAAAATTTAAGTGTAGAAATGAAAATGCTAGCTATGTTTCTTTAATGATATTTTAACGTGCAGTTTCTTCTTGTTGCAGGTTGGCTATGATATGACTAAAAAAGCTGCAGAAAAATGTTTTGAAAAAGCAGGCCTGAAACCTACAGATGTTGATGTGATTGAACTGCATGACTGTTTCTCACCTAATGAGTTAATTACCTACGAAGCTCTGGGACTCTGCCCAGAAGGTAATACCATCAATGCAGATGATTGTTTTATTAAAATAGAAAGCAATTAAAATACCTTTTTATCTGTCATGTAATTAGAACCTTGCGTTGTGTACTGGACAGATGTTCTGCATGTGAAAATCTAACTAGCTAACCTTATAAGAGGAAAAAGCAAGCTGCCACTGTGATAACACTAAGAAGACTTGCGAATTCTAGAATTAGTTTAACAAGTGAGTGTGCTGCTATGATTTCTGCAGAGGTATACAAGGCAAATTGAAGTGTCGGACAACTATACGAAATCATATGGTTAGCTTGTGTAGGTGTGAGTCTTCTAAGCAAGCAGAGAAGGAAATTAAGGACTCTGATCTTTTGAGTATTATGCCTCTCTTTCAGGGGTATATACTTTAACCTACCCCAAGATTTCCATCCATGCTTGTACTACCTCTTAAGAAGATAAAAATCAGACCAGAATTACCTATAGAGGGCCTTACGAAGTTATCTTTGATACAACTTTTTTTTATACCTTGAAACATCTTTGTCTTTGAAAATACAGTAATTTGCAAGTTGTGTACGTGTCCCTAAAGTCTGTATATCAATGCATGATCAGATCAAATTAGTGTAATTTCATTGAAGTGAGTGGATTTACCAGTTTACAGCAGTGGAGTTTAGTTCTGTAGAAGTCAAACCATTAAAACTTTCTGCTTGAGGTTTTTGTTTGATTTCAAATAAATAATGCATTGAACTGCTACTTCAAGATTTAATATATTCAAACTCTAAATGTATTCTTGCTTTGCATAAATATTAGTCTGATGTAATCTTTAATTTTTTCTCAAGTAATTTTGAGAAAATATCACACTTCTGTCACTAGATGGTGTATTGTATTAAGTCAGCATTCTCACTGAAACAGAAATTCATAGATCTTCAGGAAGACTTTTTGTGTGTTTATAGGTCTTCTAATATTTGACTTTGAATACTTACTTTTTACTGCCTTCTTCGCTGTGTTTTTGTGGTATATGCAGTAAAAATGGTAAATGTTTGACATTATTTAAATAGGTACATTAAGTTTTTTAGCTTTATTCCTTTAATTGAAGATACAGAAGAATCCTTATGGTACTTGTCTGTTTGATCAATAAATCCCGTGTATGGTAACGTAGTAGTGCAATACTCACCACCTTTCAGTCAGTCTGACCTTAAGGGTATGTGAACTTGCCTTGGAACGGTAGGCTCATTAGACGTAGCGATGTCACAATGGCGTAAACCATGTGGTGGGTTTAGATGTCCAAGACTAACCTGGTGTTTTCATTTAATGGCAGAAGTAAGTTAGAAATACGGGAAATGTGGCAGATCTTTTTTTAGACTTCAACATTAATAATGGAGGCTGAAGAAGCTGGTGCAAGAATAAAGGGTAGAACTGTCTGCTGAAGGGATGGGAACTAACACTCTGGAAAGCTAAGCAATTACAAGCATCAGTCTTATGAGTGGTTTTAATTACTGTCTTGATGTCTCAATGCAGCTGAGGGTACCGTTAGCCGCCTTTGTGGCAAGGGCTCATGTTCAGCTTGGTGTTCACCAGGACCTCCGTGTCCTGGGAGTCACAAATTATGTGACCCTCTTTTATAAAAAAACGTAGTCATTACTGCAGTTTCATTAATAAAATAATGAACAGCTTCGTTGTATTGCTTATAACATAACGTTGTTTATCAACAACACAGTTCAAAAGCAAACTTTAAGAAGCTTTTGTATCAAACACTAGTGCTATTACTACTTTTCCATGTTACGCTTTCTCAAGCAGTATAAGCAAGTCTCATAAATGCAGTTTGGCCAATTTCAGTCTGCTCTTTGTAGTGTAGTATTTCCTAGGTTTCAACTGACATGCAGCATCTTTGGTGGGTAACAGTAGAACTGAAAAATCACTAAAAAATAAAAGGAGCATTTTTCTTTTATAAATACTGTTTTTTAGGAAAAGCATGTGACCTGATTGACAGAGGAGACAATACTTACGGAGGAAAATGGGTTATTAATCCTAGTGGTGGCTTGATTTCAAAGGGACACCCAATTGGTGCTACAGGTATGCAAAAAACCATTTCAGTCATTCCGGTTAGATACAAGATAGAGCTCTTGAGCAGGCAGATGCTTCCCACTTGTATTTGAATGAAGCATGAGGGCTTCCTAAGCCTAGAAGGAAGCTTTGGAGTTGATTCTCATTTTCAGCTAATGCAAGCATTGGGGCAGGTTGACCATGCAGGATTGCTCAAACTGAAAGAGTTGGAGTGTGAATTTGATCATTAGCACTTACTTAATTTTATGGTGCTGCTTCTTCTGTTGTTACTAAAGCAACTTGCGAAACAGCTTTCTAAATAATTGCCCAATAGTACAGTTTGTGTTGAATGTAGTTTGAATAACTGTTTTCATATGTTGTCATCCTTTTAAAATGTAGATTTTGGAGATTTTTACTGCATCTGAATAGCCTGTACCCTTGTTAGCTGTAATAGAAGCTGTTTCTGTTAAGCCTTGGATGTCAAAATATTTATCTGATGTTTACAACAGAAGCTCAGTTAGTCACTGTTTCCCAGCAACCCAGGTTTTTCCTTTTTTTTTGTGTTTTTTTGTTTTGTTTTCTTTAATCTGCTACACTTGCTTCCGAATGAGATAGCTCTTAAATAAAATGTGGATTCTGAAGATAATTCACCTTCCTTGTTTGGAAATGAGAAGTTCTCAGAAAAATGGAGAAGAGGAAACCTTGCGAAACAACAAAACTTAATCTGAACAGCTGTAACAGCTAGATAATCCGCAGTTAGTGTAGGGAGGGGGGATATTGGGAAACTCTGGAAGAAAAACATTCCAGGTAGATGAGACTATGGGTATTTGTGACAGGATGAGAGTATTACATTGCTAGGTTTGTGTTAAATTTGGTCTCTCTCTATTGCCATGGGATAGGGGGAAGAGTCGTTAAAGTGCAGAAAATGACGTGTCTGCAGACTGTGAGCTTAATTTCACTATAAAACTATCTCGAGGCTCACTATTAGCTCGCTATATGCTAATCAGAGGTCATATAAGTCCTCTTAAATTTCCAAACCATTTCAGGGAAGGCTGTACCACAGCACACATCCTCTCCTTGAGGCTGAGAGAATGTAAATGAAACCTGTTAATTCTCGTCTCTGAGTGGGATTATAAAACTTCTCACTTATCCTCTTTGCAATGTTTCAGCTGGCAACACATTAAATTCTGTGCGTAAGACGCAGATTGCCCCTCTGTCTTGCCCAAAGGCCTACAGAGTTATGCAGGGGAAGGGAGAGGAAGGGACGGAGGTCTGTGGGTGATGGAGGGGAGAAGAAATTTGTGTGTGGTGGGACTGGGTTGTAAGTACAGAAATAGCTGGTGGAACGGTAGGGGAGATGGAGAGTAAATGTGGTCTGAAAATCGGGGCTTTAAGGGAAAGGGATTCACCTTCATCTTGGGCCTCTCGAGAAAAGTATTCGTAGGTATCCGAGCTGTCGGAATCAGCTTTCTTAAATCCTACGGCGTGTGTTCCGTCAGTATCTTCCCGGGGAAGGAGGTTTACCGAGCGGACCGGCAGCGCGCGCGCCTCACTTCGCTCTGCGCTCGATTCCTCAGGTCTGGGTCAGTGCGCCGAGCTCTGCTGGCAGCTGCGCGGCCTGGCGGGCAGGAGGCAGGTCCCGGGGGCGAAGGTCGCGCTGCAGCACAACCTGGGCCTGGGCGGCGCGGCGGTGGTGACCCTGTACGCCATGGGCTTCCCGGGGGCCGGCAGGTGAGCGCGGGCCGCGAGGGGCCGTTCCGCCGCATGATGCTCCCGGCGCTTCGTCTTTAAAAAAATATTTATGTATTTATTTATTTTAGAATTATTGTTTGCCTCTGTGCAGGGAAGAAATGGCGCTGTAAACCAAAACTTGCTCAGAAATTCTTCCCTCAGAGGGCGGTGAGGCAGTGGAACAGGTTGCCCGGAGAAGTTGTGGATGCCCCATCCCTGGAAGTGTTCAAGGCCAGGTTGGATGAGGCTTTGGGCAACCTGGTGTAGTGGAGGGTTTCCCTGTCCATGGCAGGGGGCTTGGAACTGGTTGATCTTTGAGGTCCCTTCCAACCCTAACCATTCCATGATTCTGTGATTTGGAACTGTCGTGTCCCGTCAACAGTGCAGGTATATACAGCGGTTATAACTTACACAATGTCTCGTTCCTGATAAATGATACGCACTGTGAGGTGTAAGTTAATGAGCAGAGCAGACTGGCCAGTAGAAACGGCTCGCCTGGTGTCCTGTAAGGAAAAGTCTAATTTTCTAAGGGGGGGTGGGAAGGCAACAAAATGGGGGAAAAAAAAGACTTTCCAAGAACAAAACAGGCCACATTAAAATGAATTAATTGGAACTGGAGGCTTGCCAAAAAAAAAAAGCAAGACTTCCATGGGAATAGCGATACCCATTGTGTTCACTGCTAAAATGGTTACTAGTGTGGTTTCATGGAGAGTTGCTTTCAGCTGTATCTGCTACACATGGCGTTCTAAGTACTTGTTAGAATTCAGGCATGTTACTCATCTGGTCCTGGCTAAAGAATGTGCACTCACAATTGTAGCATCTTTCAGAGAGAGAGGAGAAGACAGCTATGAAGTTGTCTCGCAGTCTGCTATAGTTCTATGCTAGGGTGGATAGAAATTGAGAGAAAATACTTAAAATTTGTAAGTATAGCAGAATTTCAGGAGAGACTTTTAGAATACACAGTTCCCTTTATGTTTTCCTTTTCAACTTTGCTTAGAAAGATTGAGCTACTCTTTGTCAGTGTTACGGTTTTGATTTTTAAAGCTCGATGCCAGTACTTTATATTGTCTCTAAAAACTGGTGAGCAGTAAAATTTATCATATACGGGACTTCCAGAAAGAAATATTTCCCCTCTCAACTCCTATTTCTAATGTATGTCTGTTTTAGCTAGACCTGTACAAATCCTGGGAGATGACAGTATAGTCTGTGGAAGAGGTAATGAGAGAAGCAATTGAACTTCTAAGGGCTGCAGCAGGAACTTTTTGTGGTGCAGTCAGAAGTGATAATCCTACCACTTCTGTAACCTGTAAGAGGTTAGACAGTATGAGAAAATAGGCATGATACAGGAAAAATCATGTCTTCTCATGGATTCTCTTCAAACATGCTCACAAAACTTGGCACTGTTAGTACACAGTTTTACGTCAGAGGGGAAAAGATTGTTATAGAGTACGTGCTCTTTTCCATTGTTTTGAGTTTTGTCTTTACAAATATTGAAGTTTTATGGTACAGGGAATCTGTTGCTGTTTGTATACCATTAGTCTTGAGGTACTAGAGGTAGTGCCTTCCTCTCAGTAAAGACTCTGCATGTATTGATAATATTTCTTCTGAAGAAATTAAGTCTAATTTACTACAGCTTACTTTCACCTTCGTTGGTATTGAGAATTTTAAAAATTCTTTTGGGTACAACTCAAAACAGAGAAATCTTAGCAATACTAGTTTCATCTTACATTAGAGAAGCTTGAAAACGCTTAGTTCTTCCAGAGGCTTTGTATGGGAGATACTTGACCCAAGGAGTTGCACCAATGTATATCAGACTTTGGAATGAAACAGTGCGGCTCATCTTATGTAATTGAATAATACGTGTTGTGTAATTAAGGGAAAGGTGCTGGCATCTCACGTTTGTGAAGATACTTCATACCGTTTTTTCTAGAGCAGGGCACCTAGACTTAATCATTGGCTTCATGTCCAGCCTGTAATTAGTGCCTTTAGTAATGGCTGCCAAGAATGTACATCAAGGTAAATGACAGTAGGGCTTGATCCATCTTGGATTAGTCTTTGAAACAGTTCTGCTTTTTCTTTTTTTTTTTTCACACCTTACAATTTTACATCTTGTTAGTACAGTCTTGGTTTATTAGCAAAATTGATGTATCTTTTTCAGATTAGACAGTCCATACTATTGCTACTGTAGCAAACTTCTATAGGGTAGTGTTAGTACCACATAAATAAGTTCTAGCAACGTTTCTTAAGCAATTCTGTCACTTCAACAGTATCAGACCTGACCACAGGTTTGAACTCTGCTGCCAAGAGATAGTAATAATTGTGAGCTTGTTTTCCCTGCTGCTTGAATTGCTGTTTCTTTGGACATCTCTGTGCTTACTTCAGCTCTGGGTGCCTCTGCAGAAATGAAGAATTAGGCTTCGTACTGCTATCGGGCCAGGCAGGGCAACCGCTCTAGAGCATCACGAATGATGCTTAGTACCTCTTGTGACAGTTAAGAGACCCATGTGAAATGGGAGGGAAAAGGGGATTTGTTTTGCAGAGAGGAAAAAGAGAGGCTGTTTCTCTGAGATGCTGCATGTGCCGCTCTCTCTTCGCACAAGATACGGCAATAGTGTTTGCTAATTTATCTTAAGAAGATTAATGGTTTACTTGCATGATAAAATTAGTGTCCTGGCCATACGTGCAAAAACCATCTAGCTACTTGAATTACCATTAGGTGGTAATTCAAGCTGTAAAGCCCATCAGAGAGTAAGCTTCACTTTGATATCATATAGTTGCTCTGTACTGCTGAAGTGTTTCAGCGTGGCTGTTCTCCATGGTGTTAGGCCTATTCATGGTAATTTGAAGATGCTGAAAACGTGGTTAAAGGTGTGTAAATGAATGGGGTTTTCATTTCAGGACCAACCGTATTACATCCGTGCCTCTAAGCACAGCTGTTGATGGATTTAAGTCACATTTGGTCTTCAAAGAGATTGAAAAGAAGCTCCAAGAGGTATGACTACTTCTTTTACCTACAACAGGATTTTAATTTGATAGAACATGTGTGAAACCTGGTGGGAACGTTGTAGCATCAATCACTTCCTGAGTACTGCTCATCGAAACAAATGTTACAGCTTTGAATTTCACTGGGTCAGAAATCTTTCCACACTGTGCCATGATTTTAAATTATTTTTTTCTGACAGTTCCTACCTGCATGAGGGTATTTCAGTGAAGGCAAATTTAGATTGTATGTGAGGAGCTTGCTAACTAACACAAGTAGCTTTTAAATTTGTCTTTGGTGTTTGTCGCTTGCTTTGTAAGTGTGATTAGAAGAAGCAGTCACATTTTGTCAGACTTAAATCAAGACAAGACTGTTAGGACAGTGGTTGTTTTTCTTAGTTGATAGATTTTAATATAGATAGTCATAGTTGCTGTTTTGTGGGTTTTTTTTAAGATTGTTTAAATGAAGCTTAGTAGAGAAAAACATATTTTATGTTAGTAGAAAGGATAAAGGTTTTTAAATTACTTTCTGTTTAATTCAAACTATTTTAAAAATATTTTGAAGTAAATTAATAATTTGCATATTACATGGTTATTACAGGACGGAGAGCAATTTGTCAAGAAAATTGGTGGAGTCTTTGCCTTCAAAATAAAAGACGGTCCTGATGGTAAAGAAGCAACTTGGGTAGTAGATGTGAAAAATGGTAAAGGGTCTGTGGCAGTTAATTCAGGTCAGTGCTATTTTATGATGTCATTGCAGAAAATATATAAAACTAATGAAAAGAATATAAATTAATATCCTGTTTAAGCTATAGTGACCTTGAGCAAAAGTGGTGTGGAGCTACCTTAATTTTAAAAGTTTCTTATTACTGATGCTTTTAATCCATAATATTTCAGTCCATGAATTAGTTGTGCTCTACTCTGAAGTCTGTCTAGAGGCTCCAGACAGATCTGTCATGCGACTTTTATGGGGATCAGAATTTTAAAAAAAAAAGCTAAAATACAAACCTCAGGGGTTTTGTTCTTCTCATCTCTTAAACTTTGGCCCAGAAATGTAATTCATAGCTGTTTCTCCATTAGCTTTGTTGGAGAGACTGGTAGGCGGAAAGCTGGTCTATCTCGTCAAACTACTTCTCTGCAGCTGTTTAAGTGATAAAACTTGTCTGATTTCAATACTATACCAGCTGACATAACCTGCTTTCCATTTTAAAAACGGCGGACATAAGACACAGACTGGGTAGCGGTGGAGAACCCCACAAAAATATTGGAAACAAGGGATTTGTACCCTTTCCATGAAAACATCTTGTCTCATATCTAAACTCATGCATCCTAGTAAATAAAAAGCCAAAGACAGCAGTCTGTCCTCAGAAACTCATATATCCCTGAACCTGCAACATCAAGCTTTTCATTAAAAACGTGACAGAGGATTTAATTTGGAATTCATTGATCCAAGTTACTACAAAAAGAAAAGCACTTTTTTCTGTTGTATGGGCAACATTTTATCAAAGAGTTAAGTTTAATAATAAGACGAGTGTAGGAGAAGATGACGTGTGCAGTTTTTAGCCCTTTGGTATATACATTAATATTTCTGTCAGAGCTTGTTAAAATCATTTTTCAGCTTTTTTCTGGTAAGAAGATCCTCAAAACTTCTGGATTTGAATTAATTCAAACGAGTGCTTTTAGAATGCATGCGTTGTTCCCATTGAAGGAGAGGGCAGGAAATGCCTGAAATGTCAGTGATGAATATCTTCAAAGAGTGTCACAGGGGAAAACACGTTTATTCTGAGTTGATCTTCAGAATAAAACTGGTAAATTTAGGCTTGATAAAACTCAAGACAGTTGTTAATGCTTGCAATTAACATTCTGTCTGATTACAAGTAGATTATTATTTATTTTCAAGGAATGAATTTGTTTAGCACCTTTCAGAAAGGTCCATCTTTCTTCAGTGTTGACATGGTCTGGCCTACAAGGTGGCACAAAAGCCTGTTGGCTATTGAGTGATCTCTTGCTGGTATTTGTACAATGGCCCTTATTTGTTTGTGCTTCAGGTACCATATTGCCAACCTGTAATATGAACAGATTCTTTGTGGTGTTGCAGCTTCTGTTGCTGTTTCACCTCTCAGTTTGAATCTTCATATTCAACTCTGTCTTACAGATAAGAAGGTGGATTGTACAATTACAATGGCTGACACTGATCTGTTGGCTCTCATGACTGGCAAAATGAATCCTCAGACAGTAAGTACAGTGAAGATGAGGTAATAAAAGGACTGACTTGTTTGTTTTGGGTATGTTTACGTTGAAATCATTTAAATAAATCCACTCCTCCAAACTGCCATGACTGATCTGAAAAATGACAGCTCTTGACTTTGTCTGAACAAATTGGCCAAAGTAAGATTAATCAAGACAGTATCTACCCTGCTGAATAGGTACATCTCAGGCATCCTGTAAGTAATCCAGAAGGGGATATAATAGTGTGTGGTTTGCAGAGGGGGACACTAGTGTTTTCAGTGTGACTTCAGAAAGGAAGAATGTTGGCCCTCTCTTTAGAGGGCTTTACGCTCATAGCTGACATTGCTGTAAGGAGTAATCTTGATGCTAAAAAATAGAAATTGAGGTGAGCATCCACTGAATGCCTATGATTGTTTGGCTTTTTTGTTCCTCAGTGTGTCAAAGCAGCCATAGTGTACAAGTAAGCTGAATGTTTAAGTTAATTTTAAGTTGCTGTTCCATACTTCTAAATTTGAAATGCTCTGGGTAACGTTCTTTCAAGTCTTTGGTCCGGTAATCACAAGGTAAATAAGAATTTTCAAACTAAAGCATGTCTAGGAAAAGTTTGAATGTAAAACACATTCTAGAAATGTAATGTACATGTAGGAAACTCAGAAGCAATGCAATTTTGCATTTACAATTTGGAGATTTTAGTGCATGCAGTTCATCTTTTTACAAGGTCTAGAGGAAAAACCTCAAATCTTTAGCATTTCTGCTTCACAAACTAGATTGTAAAATTGAATTCATCAGTAACAAAACCAGTAATGGCTGGGGGAGATTTGAGCAAGAAAGCAGTTGTGGCATCTACTGTACACTATTGCTTTCTTGTCTTCAGTTGAAATAGTGAACTTTTACGAGCCATCACCAAAACATTGGGTATTCTGCCCTGCTTTGTGTGCAGATCCTTCGTTACAATTATCCAAGAAACAAGCAATACCAAGTTTGTTCAGTTTAGGTATCACAAACATAATAAGCTTACAACGTCCTCAGTTTACTATTTCACCTTCTAGTGTCAGAAAATACATCCGTTGATGAATGTGAGGAGTCTGCTAGAACTGTTGGAATCATAAAACTGCAGGCCAGGACCTGCTCATACATAACTGGAGAGTGGTGCATTTGGGGTAGTATGTTGTATTGCATTTCATACAATCTTTCTTTCTTTTTAGGCATTCTTTCAAGGCAAATTGAAGATCTCTGGGAACATGGGCATGGCGATGAAACTTCAGAATCTACAACTTCAGCCAGGCAAAGCTAAACTTTGAACTCATTAGAGTAAACAGTCAGTACCTAATATTCCTGACAAAAGAATGAAACTAGACCTTATCAATAATATGGGACAGGCTGGGTTTGATTGGACCTCTCTTACTTAAATTCTGTGGTTAGAGACCTTAATTCTCTTAATAAATTCCATCAGTTTCTCTGTGGCAAAGATTTTTAGGCTAAGCTTGAGGCACTAACTCTTACATGGGTGGGTATTAGTGACAATTTTTGTTTCAATATGAAAAATTTTATAAAATGGAGTTGAATGAGGTGGCTTACTGTTGTTCAGGTTAGTTGGGAAGAGTAAGGAAGGTTATAAATAGTTTGACATATCACTTAGTTGCATTTTTTTAAAAGCTGTAATATCAAGTCATACAAATGCTTTCAGACTTCCATTCTAACAAATTTGCTGCTGCTTAAATCAAAATGGTCTTATAAAGGGGATCTCTAACAACGTTTTTTTAGAATAGGCTTTAGGAATTTGCTATAAGATAGCTTTCTTATTGCTACTTTGGAATTTAAATATGCAGAAGTAAGTAGGAACTAGAACGTTGCTTTGAGATTCACAGGATTTGATAATACTTCACCTCGAAAAAAGATTATGTTCTCTAGGAGAGCAGAGAAGGGAGTATAACCAACATTTTGCCTGTTTCTCCTGAGAAAATCTTGTGTTGATCGGTATGAAATTCTTACTGGTAATGTAAAAGGTTTAACTTCTGTTTTGGGAAAATGTATTCTGGTTGGAAGTTAATAGCAAATTAAATATACTTTTCCTGTTCTTCTGTGTGTCTCTTCCTCAGATTTGTTAACATGGATTTCATGTTAATGCACTGAATTGACTATTTTATGCAGGTTGTTAGGAGGGCATTTTTTTCCTCCTCAGGCATTGCCAGTAGATACTCCATAAACGGCATCTTAGTCCAGTATATGCACCTCACGTGCGGGCTATGACTGAGGAACTTATGCATAAACTTTCACTTCTCTGGTTTAACTAAAATCATAATAAAAATTAGCTAATTCGAGCCAGTCATTCTGCTTATGTGGTGTGAATGGTTAACAGGTTGCTGAGCAGTAAGAATGGCTGTACTGAAGCAGACTGAAACTTGATCTGGCCGACTGTACTTTCTGATGGTTGACACCTTGGAAGGAATATTAAGATGGCCCAAACATCTTTTTACCCAGAATACTTTCTTAGCTGCCAGTGTGTTGTGTTTGGTTTTTTTTTTTTTTTCCAGCTCACAAATTTGAGCCAGAAGTGGTACGTTTGTATCTAAAGTTCTGGGTGGATAGTTTTTCATGAGTTTGTTCAATCCTCTTTTGAATTCTTGACAGCTTTTTTTAGCATGGGTCAAGAATTTCTGTAGCTTACCTACATGTCATGTGGAATTAAGTTTATTCCTTTTTGTTTTATACATTGCAGTTTTATTTTATACTTCTTAGTTGTGGTTTTTTTTTTGTTTTGTTTGTTTGTGTTTTTTTAACTGGAAGAAAGAGCAAACAGCTTCAAAGTGCTGTCTATAGTCTTGCCCTATCACCTTCAGGCTTTGCAGCTTAAGGAAGAGGACGTTCTATTTGATTGTGTCACATGGAGAGACCCTTGTTATCTTTTGGTCATCCTTCCTGTATGCTGCATTCCAATTGTCCTGTTAAAAAGCTTTCAAGATACAAGAACATTTTCTGCTTTTATTTTTATTTGCCCAATTGCTTTTCTGACCACTATTGATGTTTTCTTAGATCTCTTAAACCTGGAGGCTCATTTCTTTCATATTAACTCGGTGCTTATTTCTGCACTGTGAAGCTGAAAACAGTTTTTAAAATTATTGTTCCATATGCATCACTTTTATTTATACTGAATTTCAACTGTGTTTTGCTGCCCAGGCACTCAGTGTTCAGACCTGCCTGCAGCTCTTGTACTCAGTCCTGGTCTTTAATATCTGTATGATCAACTTTTATCACCCCACTGTTCATCTTCTTTCCCAAGGCATTAGTTTGGTGCTAAATAGGACAGATATGGCCTTATTCACCTGTAAACTTAAAATACAATCTGGTCTTATGAATCCAGTTTCCTCTTGTGTACTTGTTTATTGACTTACCTAAAGGACTGTAGCAGGTAGGAGTCATGTCTCTCAGATGAAAGCAGTGTTAGACCTGTTTGAAATAACATCTGCTAATGCATCCACTGCTTTTTTCTAAATTCTTGCCATTTGGCTTGTGGGTTAAAATTAAGAGGAATTACAGGATTGCAGCAGTAATTCTGTACTGAAAACAGAGTTACTGTTTGTTCCTCTGCACAGAGTTGCATATACACCCTTTTATTAGCAAGCTTTGTCCTCCTTTTGAGTCACTGATACTACCAGAAGAGCTTTGAGTAGATGTTTCTTATCCAAGCTAAGAACATGCCTTTTCCAAGAATTTTGAGCCATAGACACAGCATATTTTTGGCCACTGTTTAATTAAAGAACCAAATGAGTTTTGAAGTGTAAACAAGCTAACGTAGATCATAGTAGTCCATAGCAATAAAAGTTTAAGATGTGTTCACCTGCAGATTGAGATTATATTTTAGGCAGGGAAAAAAGGTGCACACATATTAAAAAACAAACAGTGTAAGAAAATAACTTTGGAGTTTGTTCACTGTCACAAGAAAATATCCAAGTCTTCCGAGAAATCTAGGTTTGTACAGGCCTAGGACTTTTCAGGTTTGGCCACTTGGAGATATAATGTCATTATAACAGAGAAATCCCAGATGAAATGTAGATGTTTAGTTCTCTTGCTGCTTGTAGCTAGAGGGAGTAATGCACACGTTAGCACAGCCTGCTTTCTCTCCTAGGAAGTAAGAGAACTAGTAAATATTGTATTTCTCCTGCAGTATTTAAGAAGATGGAGTAAAAGATAAAGTCTTATATTTACCCCATCTACCAGTTACTGTCTTATTTTAGACATCTGTCTTGTGTTAATTCTTCACTTTCAGCACCTTCTTTGTGTCATAACTTGCTCAGTGTTTTTTAAATATGGTATAATACTTTTTCTAATTTTCCTTTTTCTGAGAGTGAGATGTGTGTGGAGTATTTTCTAAAAATCACAGATCCTCCATTTACATTCTGCAGTCTTAGAATCTGATAACTTTGCATAAATAAATGCCACAGCAGACAGAAATAATTTGCCCTGTTCATCATGATGAGGAAGTAGGCAAAGCTCTGTGGTCAGGTTTTGACATTAAGTTCTCTTACTCGTTTTTTACATAATCAAAGTATTACCTAAGTTTGTGCGTTTTTAGAAATCTCTCTATGAAATTTTTCTTTCTCACTGCATAATGCTCTCTTGACTAAGCAGCATTAAGCACCTCTTCTCCAGCTAAAATCCTCTGTAACTTTAGATCTGTCTTTCTTACAGAGCTTATGTGTTACTGCAATTCTGTTATGTTAACTTGATTCCTCGAGGGCAGAATTAGAAAGGTAGCTGAGATAACAAGAGGTGGCCAGTCACTGAACATAGCAAAGTTTGTCTTTGGTTTCAAAGGCCTTATGTAAAGGAAAAAAAAAACGGAACAATCATAATCCTCTAGGCAGAGGTTTTAGTGTTCTCACACTCCCAGTTCACATTTCAGCTTTAGACATTAAAATGCTTGGGAGGCTTGTTCCTCCTTCATGAACTCTTGTGAATGCCTTTTGCAGCTATTGGGATATTTTTTTTTACTAGCTGTGATAAATGTGTTAATTATTTGACAGCCAGAGATGCTGTAAGGTTGGCAGGTATATCTTTACTTTCTTTTGTAAAATTCATGTAATTCTTTCAGATACGAATTTTCATAATAAAGAAAAAGCAAAACGTGTTTCATTGCTATAAGCGAAGCAAATAGATTTGTCAGAGTTGGAGCCAGTGAGCGGAGTGATGCCCGACTCAGCATATCTGGCTTGCAGGAATTTGAGCAAATGCTTTGGTTTTGGAGTGGAGGTTTTATTTTTAAGTTCTTACTCAAGTTTTGTATTTCAGTCCTGCTCCTTTGCCTAGTCAGAAATAGGTACAATGCAGTGTATTATACTTACACACTTTATACCGTACATGTTTTCAAAAGTGATTGCTGCTTTTCTTAATCTGAGTCAACAGAAGAAAAGCTAAAGGGTCAGAACATGGCTCCTTTCCTTAAGAAAATGTGCTACTTCAAGAAATCTCAGTTCCTATGTTGATCAGGATAACAAATAGGAATTTGTTAACCAAATTCTGAATTTGTGATATTTGCAAGAGAGCTCTCTGTGGATAAACAAGGGTATATCCATGGAGAGATGAGGCAGTGTAGGGGGAAGCTGTATGTCGTTATATGGTGCTGACCTTGCCTCTTGAATAACTTCAGGGGGGGATGTGACACAGTGCCTAGTACAGGTGTTCATAACTGCAAGTGTTGGGACTGGAGAATCTGGCAGGTGGCTCATTGTGGCTTTACTTGTGTAAAGGAAGTCCTTGTACGAAGTAATCTGGGATCCTGTTGGTAAGCAGCAGAGAAATTAGCTTGCTCAAGTGAGGAGGTTGTGAACAGCTGAGCATGGTTTGTGGCAGCTGGGTTAAGGAGCTGTTCTTTTGGGTGATAGATCATTTCAGGATGACGGAGGATGAGACAAAGGGACTTGAGTATATCTTCCCTCTCAGAATAGAAAAAGTTTCAAATAATCGCAAGGCTGGATTTGTCCATCTCCCACAGGTCCAATTCTTGAGGTCAGTTTGAACTGTTGCCTCCTTGGAACAGGAAATACATCGCTTCCTGTTTTACAGAGCACCGAGCTGGATGTCAGCTCTCGTTAAACAGAAAAGAATAAGAATGCAATTAGCCTGGTGGATAAAAGGCAGGAAAAAGTCTCTTAACTATGAAAAATCAACACTTGATGAAGCAAACCACATGTGGAGAACAAATGCTGGAAAAAAAAATCAATGGTTTGGAACAAATTCCTGTATTACTTAAATAAACAGCAGCATGATTTGTTGAAGTGACAGCATGAACTGTTCTGTACTCTATATCTGTAAGAAGAATTCATTGCTAACTTAAAAGCAAATGGCTTTATATGGCCCTGGGTGGGTTCTCTGGGAAATGTTAGTTATATACTGTGATACAGGAACAGAAATATCCTAATAGTGCTGCAGCAGGCTAAAAGGAACATGAATAGTATAAAACAAGTACAAAGTATGCTGTGTCTGTATCCCATATTTCAGGTAGATTAAAAGCAGTCATGGATTT